TCTCTAAAACAATCTGTTACATTATATTGACTTATTATCAAGTTTTTATAAAACCATATAGACTGCACAACGTCACAAATTACCCAACAGGAAACAAGACAAATATTGTATTGTAAGTTACAGTTGCAATATGGATTTTTTGAGGGGGGAGGTCTTAATGTTCTGGGTAAAAACATATTTACGCAAAATAGCTGCTTTTGCCCCATCATGCTGCTTTCTCCGATAAGATTTCCATTTTCTAGTCAGATATGCTATAAAAATTGTATTATCTAATTTTGAGTTCAGTTTACCTCACAATTCATTTCTAATAAATCAAATGTTCCACGGTGTACAGTAGCAAAGAACAGAAGGAAATGATGCTTAAATCAGTGTATGATACAAGACGCTCTCAACTTTGCTTTCTTTGAATTTACATATTTTATGATCTTGAAAAGATACCAGGCACCTTCATCAAAGCCAGAGAGCATTTTTATTCTGCTTTAATATACACCTCTACCCCGATATAATGGTGTCCTCAGGAGCCAAAAAATCTTACTGCGTTATAGGTGAAACCGCGTTCTATCAAACTTGCTTTGATCCACTGGAGTGTGCAGCCCCGCCCCCCCCCAAGAGCACTGCTTTACTGCGTTAGATCCGAATTCGTGTTATAGCGGGGTAGAGGTGTACTGAAAAATGAGTAGTAATTCTTTACATGCACATAGAACCCCTCATTATAAAGGATCCCAATTAATTTAATAAATTATAACCTGAGCTCTGTTCACTTCTATGTAGGTACTTACATGGCCCTTATCAGTAGAGCTGGGCGAATAATTATTTATCAGTTCACCGGCAGTTCCAAAAACCAAACAAAATAAATTTGGGTCTGCTTGAATTTGGAAACTCCAAAAGACTTTGGTGAATTGAAAAAGTGTTTTGGGTCGAAGGAAACATTTTGTTTCTAGATGTCTTTAAAAGGAGGAAGTAGGGGTGATGGTGCCACCTCCCTTAGAAGCATTAACCTAGTAGTTAGGGCACTCTCCTGGGATGTGGGGGAGAGACATTCAGTTCCCTCCTAATCCTGATATGGAGAAGTGATTTGAACTTGGGTGCCACAGATTGCAGAAGAGTGCCCTAACCACTTGGCTGCATAGTCATTCTTACTCTCTATCTTTGTCCCAACCTCCAATGACTAATTATTTATACGAAGTGGAACCACTTCAACAGGAGAGATTGAGAAAGTCCCACTCCAGACTATCCAATAGCCCCAGGAGTAAGGGAACTTTTCTGCTGTATGTGAGATCCAAGTTTAAATCCCTCCTTCAGATCAGATAGAGGGGGCAATTGAACCTGACTCCTATTTCATATCTTAGGTGAGTGCACTGAGCTACACTTTACAAGGCATGCACTACCACTGTTTCATCCTCCAGCCATTTTGTGAATGGCATCTCAATCCTGAAAACAAGATTTTGGCTGAAACTATTCAGCGATTTCATGTCAAATTTGCAACGTTTTGGTTACTATTCACCAAAAATAATAAAAATTGCCCAGTTCTACTTATCGGTATAGTATCTGGGCACTCAAGTGTTCATTTTCTCAATGGGACTAGTCCTGCAAGTAAGGCTAGTAGGATACAGGAATGTCGGACATCACTGAAATGCAGCCACTTGTGAGATGGAAAACAGCAATCAACTCCCACCCAGCATGCTGTACATTAGTGGAGAGCGGGGAAATTTTTACCAGGTGACTAGGAAAATGTCCTGCTCTTCTGAAGCGTGCCATGGCATCTTGAATGTCAAAAAGAGAAAGCAGGAAAATAGTAACTAATGCTTAACATTTTTCTCAGTCCTGCTGATGTACTAGATAAAAGGACAAGCATGTTGCTAGTAGTGTGTGCTGCTACACAAGAGAGTCATATTCAGTGTCCAGGTCCACACTCTCACTCCTGGAGTTGAATGGGCAGCACTTTCCATCACTTTGTGACAAGTTACAACTTGTGTTGCTCTGCTGCAAACTTCCTGGCTACTTATGCAGCATCATGGATGCATCTCCGGCGGGAAGATCTGTTCACTGCTTTGAAGGAAGGTCACTGCAAAACACAGTGGAGGAGAAAATGGGAGGAATTATTGGAAAAGAAATACTGGGTGGATAACAAAATTCAGTGCTGACTTCTGATGACAGAAAAGAGAATGGGGCAAAATCTGGCCAGTGTAGGGGAAGTGGCATAACTGTCCCCAAGGAAGCACAAAAACATACTGGAAAAGACAGCAGCAAAAATTTTTGTAGGGACTGCGTACAGGATCATACATTCAATACCCCACCCCCATAACTCCCAACTCTGGAATGTTCCTCTCTGGTGCCTGCCAGAGCAGGTCTAGACAAACCAGGATAGGGAACATATTTCTGCCCGTGCTCTTTTGATTGGCCACAGTGCTATGCCTAGCACCTGCCAGGATTTAAGTTTATGTTGATAACATTTCAATTACTTGGTGTATCTTTATTCCCTCTCCCCTAATCATAAAAAGTGCTGGTTAATCTGTCATCTCTCTAAATCCTGTATCCTACATCATTCAGAAATTCCATTTGGTCAGGCTCCAGTTACACACAATCATAGAGATGTGTTTGAAACTTTATATTTGATATTCCTAATTTCATACTGTATGTTGATTGGGGCAGGGATCACTCCATCTTTTATATTTGTCCAGCATGCTGTGCTCAAGAAATAAGTTTTTCCCTCTTGGGATGAAACTGGAGCACATTTTTCCTGTATCCTTAGATCCTATACAAACTCTCTCTCTTCAGACCTTTTATTGTGTTAAGTGTTGCAAATGCAAGTAAATAAAGCAATGATCAAGATGAAAAAACACACTAACCTTTTATTTTTTCCACACAAACCTCATAGGCAAATTTGCAAGAGCGAAATGACCCTCCACAGCTGCTGTTAGACTACAAATATATGTTCCCAGTTTTGTTTCCGTTCAGCCCATCCTCCATAACCATGGACTCTATTCACATCCCTGCTTCTCTCAACTTGGAATTTCTCAATGAAGTCTGAAGAAAATGTCTTCGAACCGGTCCCCCTTCGCCAGAGAATTCAAGCAAAAAAAAAGAAAGATCTTTTTAATGTGGACCAAACAAGATTATGGAAGAACCAATACACAGTAATCAGTTAGTGTTAAACTTTATACTATAGTAAGAAACTGATCTTGCACGTGATTTTTTTTTGGTAACTTGCAGCTCAAAATAAGAATTCTTGAAATACAGAATTTTTTTACTGCTTGATTTCATGTTGAAATAGTGCAAAGCCCATAGCAGAGTCTCCAACAGATATGAACAGCAAACACTGGGCAAGTGGGAGATGGTTAATTTGGTCTTCATAAGGGGCTATGAAGAAACTCCAGATAAAAATCAAAGTCAAAACACTGTCTTCAGAAAAACGATGGCATTGATAAGGTGATTTGTACATATTAATGCATTTCTATGCAGAGATACAATTTCACATTTGTTCCTGTTGCTAGTCACTGTATCACAATAGTCAGTTCAGGAATGTAAGTTGCAAAATGTGCAAATAAGTGTTCATCACACAGATTAAGGTGACAGACTGAAAACTATGCTTGTTTTCACTAAGGTGGATTTCATTTGTCAGGAATTCTGACTTCCTGAAAGTCACCATTGCTCTACAGGTTTTTAATACCTTACATAATTATGGAGGGCAGTAGCTGTTTCCATGGGCTGATATAGCCAGTACCAGAATCCATGTAACAAAACTATACCTACACCCATGGACGTCCCTAGGGGGGTTTCGGGCCCGGGACATAGGCGCCAAGTTTCTAATCTGTCAAGAGGTGCTCCCCTGGCTCCGCCCCCACTCCACCCCTTCCCCCAAGGTACCGCCTATTCCTGCCCTGCCTCTTCCCCACCCAGTTTCGCTCCTCTCCCCTCCCCCCAGCACTTTCTGACGCCGTGAAATAACTGATCCACGGTAGGCGCTGAGAAGCAGGTGCAGGTGCTGGGGGGAAGGGGAGGTTCTGGTAGGGGGGCTGCCAGTGGCCGCTGCTCATCTCATTACCCCCCCACACGCCCGCACGCTGCTCTCCTCCTTGCTGTCTGCCCATGCACCTGCCTCCTCATCCCCTTCCTGCCTGCCGCTCACCTCCCCATTTGCCCTCTGCCCTTGCTTGCCCTCCTGCCTCACCTCCCTACCCGCCTTCTCACAATTTTATGGAAGCGTGGGGCAGGGGTGGTCGCCCCGATAAGCCATACCCAAGGGATAGCTCTGCCTACACCATTCTATAACTTATGGCATTTTTCATATGCAAGGATAACACATGTAAATCCAATCTAGTTAAATGAAGTTCCTGATCCTGCTCACACTGGGTGAAATCCTAGCCCTAATTAAGTCAGTGGAAAAACTCCAATTGACTTAGACAGGGTCAGAATTTTACCCATTGAATTCAATAGCAATACTTCTATTGATCAGTGGTGCAGCTTCAGGGCCTAAGCTAACAAAAGGAATACTAGCAATAATTTGTTTAATTCACAGTGTTTGAAAGCAAAAGAGAATGGGTAAGAAATGGAATGACTAAGTCCATGTCTATACTAGCACTTATGTCGGCAAAACTTTTGTCGCTGAGGGATGTGAAAAAAAGACCTCCCTGAGCGACATAAATTTTGCCGGCACAAGCACTCATGTGCACGGCGCTATGTTGGCAGGAGACGCTCACTGACCTGGTTTTATTCTATTGACAGGAGAGCTCTCTCCTGTTGGCATAACACAGATAAATAAGTGCTCTTACAGCGGCATAGCTGTATTGATATAGCTGTGTCGCTGTAAACTTGTAAGTGTAGACATGGCCCAACTCAAAAATCCTACAACTAGTATTTTGATAACCCAAAGCACTTTTTAACAGAACCCAGATGTCAACAATAATCTTAAATTCCTATCAGAATAATGAATTAAAACCTGTCAAATACAAGAAGTTATCACATAAAATCATCTGAATTGTAATCCAATAGGATTTTTTGAAATCCTTAATATAAAAAGTTCCCTCTTCCTCACTATTCAGGAATTAATTCAGGAATTAAAATGGGTCTGCTATTCCCAAAGCATTTATTGATCATTCTCAGTACTTGCCAGAATCTATTTAATTCCCAGTAGTGATAGGAAATGCTATCCTTGCCAGAAGAAAATGGCATCTAAAGGTAGACAGTGCCATATAACAGCAATGATTGTATTAATTTGTGATGGGGCATGTTTGCAAATTATGACCTTTGCAGTTTTAAGGTCACAACACTTTTGCAGTTCTAACTTTCCAGGCTGCAAAATGCAATGGGGATATTTGTCACTTGCAAAGGCCCAATCTTTTGCAAATCATGAACATGTAGGCCTGTTCACCTCCATAATGGTCCTGCCTAAGAAAATCTTGATTTCTTTGCATTTACTGCTATGGTTCTTACAGTGTCTCAGCAGTTCTATGATGACAAAGTGCTTTTTAGAAAAACCTATCTGCATTTTTCAGACTATTTTTAGTTGCTGTAAATAATCTCCAAATAGCAAATTTATGATTAGGTATCCAATTATCCCAGAACATGAGACTCTCTTAGACATACACTACACCCCAAACACGCCATACCATGGTCACCTTTTAGACAAGGAGTGTGTCTTGATTTAGACATTATGTATATAATCTATGTATATGCACATACTATAATAGTCCTGTATATGTATATTGCTATAAAAAGCAAATGTTAAAGATATGAGTGCTAGTAAGAGTTATATTGGACTATGTCTACAGTAAAAGTACATGCGCTCAAACAAAAGACTCTGGTTTAGCATAGCTATTACCAGTGAAGGATATAATTAAGCCAATTCACAATGAAGGAGGAATCTTTTCCTAGAACCAGTGCCCATAATAGAGAATAGCAGAACATTTTATTGCCTGCACAATACCAGCACTACCTCCAAACTACACTCCTTGATCATTTGCATCTATTGTATGTATTCAGTAATGCCTTCATTTTCCTTCCATTTACAGTCTCACACTACATGTTGGCTGCAGCTCAGAAAACCCGCTTTCTTGCTCTTCTTAGTGTCAAATGCCTGTCTAAAGTAGTATTTTTTATTATAGCTACCTCTTCCTCTACAATATTTCTTCAAAGCATATGGTAAATTTTTCACTGCATTTTATTTTTCAATTAAATCCTATGTTTCTCCTGCTGTGAACCCATCTTCACACTAAAGAAAAATAATCTAAAGCAAAACTTAGTCCGGTGAGATGGTTACACAGATGCTATCCTCACAACTCATCTTATGCCGGCAGTTTCCTCTCAGGCTCTTTGGGTCTCTACCTCTCTCTAATGTTGTGAATTATTCACTGTAAGATTCCAACAGGATTCACCAAACTTAATGCTTATTAATCAGACTAAATTAAAGACCACTGCAGAATCCTCTTCCACAATGGTCTTGTTTCTAATCACAGGTGTAAAATGTGGTTAATGTTCTTCAAAGGGATAATGGTATTTCACTGGGAGCTGTAAGGAACTTAATTTATATGTATTATAAAAAGAATCTCTTACAAACCATTAGTATTGAAATAGATAGGAACTGGGTATTTAATGTTTTGATGTGTAGTAATTAAACTTATCCACTAAGCTGCATTTGGAAAAGGATTCTGCAGAAAATATCTTTAATGTACATGATCTTTTCTGTTAGCAATTTTTAAAATATCTGGTTTAATTCAGTTGTATTATCATGCTCAAATAGGCCTTTTTCCCTCAAAAATCTGCAATGTCCTTACATTAAAAAAAATACAAAAATGTTAAATGTAAAAGCACGGCTTTTGGAAAACTTTGCTTTTCAGATTTGTTTTTAATATTGATGACTAAGATGAGCACTTTCCCACTGTGTGCCTTTAGCTGTTACTAAGATAACTGTGACTTCTCAATGTTGCTCTGAAAAAAGTGTTAAACTGTGGGAAAATTTTAATGTCATATCATAAAGTCCATAGATTCAGAAGTTCTCTTATAAAGCATTACATTACACTGAGAAGGTTTGCAAAAATGTTTTTAATCTCATCGCATTTTTTCCCATGCATTGTATTTCTATGGGTATGATTGGGACTAGCCCCCAATCTCCAAGGAAATATATACTATATGTAATATAAAAATAATCAACACTGACTATAACCATAAACTTGACTTCATGCATGATTCTGTGCTCTGTAGTCCATGTTCAAGACACTTCCACAACATCTAGGACATAACTTCCAAAAGTTTTATTTTAGTTTGAAACTGGCTTCAGTTTCTTTTCAATTGTATTTTTGTAGCTGCTCCTGTTGATCTTTCACAGCTACTGTAAATTTACACTAAGAGCTTGGTGAAAGGAACATCCGCCATCAAAGCTCAAAACTGAATTGTGCAACCCTTGCCTGTGCAAAATAAATCCTCATTCAATTACATCATTGAATCCACTGGAACTAATCATAAGTGAGAATTTTTCACGTGAGCAAGGATAGCAAGATTGTATACCTAGATCCTGCAACCATACACATAAATAACTTTGTGAGTAGTCCCATTGTAGTCAATAGACCTGATTCTCCACTCTATTAGCTGTAAGACCAATAATAATAGTGGAGACTCAAACCCAATCTGACTGACCACATGAGTAAAATTACTCACATGTGTAAGTGTTCACAAGATTTCACCCTCAATTTGTACAGCCCAAGTGAATTGCAAAAGGTTTAAGTGACATTAATGATAAAACACTTGTAATAATAGGTCATATTTCTTTCCCACTCAGCCTATTATCTGACTATGTACATTTATTCTCGTCAGATTAAAATTGTTGCGGACAGTGTTGCAGAATTAACATTTCCTAACTGCACTTAAATGTGCCAATATAATTAAAGTATATTGCATGAACCACCATAAACCTTCTCTTCCAACCTTATTGAATTACATATAGTACAACCATAACTGAAAATTATTTTCTTTCTGAAATTATAGAAGAGTAAATGTTAAAGTGAAACAATTTGGAAAATATTTTTCCCTTCAAAAGTATAGAATTTATTTTTTAAAAACTGCAAATGTCAGAAAATAGATCTTGAAACAAAACTGAAATTTAAACAATCAAACTCTGTCCAAAAATGTGCTACAGTCCAAGTCCTATTTTTTGTGTGTGAAGTTTCATTACCTTAACAAGCAGAAGGTGCAGCTGTTCTGAAGGAGTTTGAATGCTATTCAGGGGGTAAACCCTGAATGTAGATGAAATACTACTGCTGATAAAATATTTTTCCATTTTGAACAAATCTGTAAACTACACCTTTGTTTATAGGAAAATGCTTGTAATAGTTACTGTAATATTCAGCTGTGGATAAAAATTTGTGAAATAAATACTTTTGAATAAATTAAATTGTGACTTTTTGGACAAAACTGAAACTGTAATATTATTTTGCATTTCAACAATAGCTTCCATCTTAATCGCAAAGCACTTTACAAACATTAAAATGATCAATCCTGAAAGCTTTTGCTTAGGATTATGGGCATCTAAGGGTCTGCTCCAAAGCCCAATGAAATTAATGGAAGTGACTTCAATAGGGTTTGAGTACTGTACGCTACTAACGAACATGTTAAGAACTGCCTGGTACTGAGCCTCACTACTTCCCTGTAAAGTATCATCATCATCTTTAACCGAGGGAGCAAATGAAGCACAGAGAGATTGAGATTTGCCCAAGAAACTCAAGTCAGTGCTGGGAATAGAATCCAGGCTCATGACTCTCAGCCCTGCACTTTAACC